ACACAAGGTGACAAGCACGGCTGTTTAGATATCTTTGACTGACCCGTTGGTATAATGGTAGCAATGTATAGCTATCAACGGTTCGTGGATCCCATCCCCGCCGGGTGTTTCTAATAAATTTAGAAATTTTCTAAAACATGTTGGACTCCGTCTGGAAATCTGGATATTAAATCGGTGATAGGAATATCGAAATTCCGTCCGGGTAACGAACCACTGTCCACAGATGAATAAATCGTAAACGCTCCGGTTTCAGTCTCTGGATTTCCGAATATCCTAAGCCAAAAGAGGTCGACAGCGCATTTTATTTACATATTATACATATGACTGATGTGTTTCACCTACCATCAAGTAGTGATAGGTTTTTCAAGTTAAGCTTAATTACGAGCTTTGCAGCCTTTAGAGATTTTAGTTTTAGGTAGTTATTAGGTAGGGCACAAAACTTTTGCTTCTATATAAAATAACCTAGTAAAAATGACACAGATATCTGCCAGTGTGAGGCAAGACTAAATATGTATAGTACATATTTTATCATTACAAGGTTACAAAACATGTCTAACATATAAGATATAACATAATTAATTTAATTTCTCCTTACTACTAACACGTCATGTCAACTTTAAAAGTCTTTCATTGAAATTAGTAGTACTCGCGTAAACAACACAATGCTAAAATGTAACGAATAACGAGTAACGACATTACCCTAATAGTCTTTAGTTACCTACAATTACTATTATATATTTTTAGAAATGATGTCAAAACAAATACGGCAGGTGTACGTGCCTAGTTCTAGACGCTAAATATTAAAACGTTTATGTTTTCATAACAATCCAAGTACGGTTGTACACGTACTTATAATGCAAGACGAAACACTCCAGCTTTTATTTATTACCCATGGCTTCTAGTTAAACGACCTACTCTTCAGTCTTTAACCGCTTTTCTAGATACACGATCAGTTCATTCATAATTTTCATGTGTGTTGAACTTAAGTACCCTTAAGTACCAATAGCACGGTAGCTCGGCAAGATAGGAACGAGAACCACTGTAGTCGTGGGTTCGAATTCCGTTCGAGTTTTTATAATCTAAAGAAATTAAATAACATGTAAAAATATAATTATTTGCTGTCGAAATCTTTAGTTGTTTGTTAACTTGGGTATTCCGTTAAATGCGGCAGACGTTTTAACATATACCTACTATTAAATTAAAATTAAATTATTATGATATTTCAAGAGCCATCGGAGTCTACACAGAGGATATTTACTATTATACCTACCTACAGCAAAATATGAAACTCTTATACAATACATAACTTGCAAATCGTAAGTTACAACTGGGAATGTGATATCGGATTCAAATTAACTTTCTCATCAGTCATTGCGTTGAATTGCTTCCGCAAATATCTTACATATAGAGGAATGCCTTCGACGAACACATTCTTAATCACAAAACCTCCATGATCACGTACTAACTAATGGAGCGGGGTAAATGTGTCATCGGCTGTATAATTTGGTCATGCTTTCTCTGTTTCACGATCACGTCACAACCGATGATTGTTATGGTGCGTTTGAGCATGCTAAAGTAATCGTAATTTCATTGTTGTAACTAGCGCTACGTCTAAAACTAACAAAGATCTCAATTAATAAGGAAAATGTTATATTTGAAAACTTTAATATCCTTTATATGTTATTGCATATGATGGCACTGTATAAATAGAAAATCGATTATAAATTGAAAAAAAAAAATACCACACAGGCAGGACTTGAACCGCCATCCGCAGAGTTTCGTGCTGCTGCTTTAATCAATTGATTGTTAAATCGTAAAATAATACTTTAGTGTTATTAGAAGTCGAACTTTATTTTTATTAAAACCTACTTTTTCAAATAATATGAGCTTGTGTATAAAATAACATACGTCTAAGACAATTAAACTCTTATTAATACATGTAATTGTCATAATTATATTATATTCGTTAAATAATTACTCCGCTGAATTAACCAAATTGATTACTATCAAATCTTATCTCATTACATCGTTCACTGGACAAATTACATGTTAAATATTGCATATTTTAAATTTAAGGCATCCTTGTAAATTAACTGTAGAATTAACAGTAAGTATATTAAATTAATTCGGCCGTAACAGCAAAACTCCATACCTATAAAAATTCTTGTTATAAAGAGATAATATTTTGTAATTTATTTTTTATCACTAAATAAAAGTTATTTGATTAGCTAGAAAATATTAACAAGATAATTGAATAACTGATAAAGTATACATATACATAGGAAGTTGCATAATAATAAATTTAAAAAATGACTAAGACTCATTGAGTTAAATTAAAAATCTATTATAAATTGAAAAAAAATCACGACTCGGGCAGGACTTGAACCGTCATCCACAGCGTCCGTGCTGTTTTTAAACAATTCAGCTACCGAGCCCTACACGTCATCGTCGAATTTCAACCTATATACATATATGCACCTCTCGCGCCTCTTATTTAGTTCCCAAACTTTTAATCAATTGCGTTCAATGTCAACCATCTGAATAAGCAAATTGCACTATTGTTGTCATTGAAGCATATCACGAAGGAAGTCGACAAGGGCTTATCGGAAGGTCAAAGACTCCCGATAACAATCCAAAGAGAACCTTATCGTGTGAGGTTTTTGAAAAGTCAAGTCTCCGAAACCACTAACTAGTCTGTTAAAATAAAACTTATGAAATTGTAGATCTATACACCCTGCTATGTTTTTCTTGTGATATTCTCTTACTTAAAAATTGCTAAAATATTGTGTTGTACTTATCTCAGTATTATATGGTCCTGTAAGTGTTCATGACTTCTCTACCAGTTTCTTGTATCTTGGAAGAATTAAGAAAAAATATAAGCGTTGGAAAACCTTTTTTTTTAAACCATTTAAAGCTAAACGCACCTTATTTACTAATGTACGTCAATACAATTTGTGTTAATAACGAAAGGCTTGTAATACATTCCAGACCCAGTTTTAAAATTAAAAGCGTAGAAGGAATGAGAAAAAAGTGCCACGAATTTAGCCATTCTTCTAATCAATATTTTACAAATTAATTTTACAAAAGTCCTCGTTAACTAACTTTATAGCGAGATTAATATAAGACAAAGTGGATCAAGATTATTTTGTGTTGCATCTTATTACATTCCAGTTTTGTCTATAAACATTTTATGGATCTTATCAAAGTTAAGAATCATGTCAATATAAATACGGTGTGAATACCGTTTTAAAATATGTAAACTACTTGGAAGCGTTCAGTTTCTCAATTTCCCGTGCCTCAATGTTGCTATATTAAGCTTTTACTGTATACCTAACGAATAAGGTAGTTTGGTGCTGATTAGCAAAATATCGCTAAGATTGCTAACTGTTTGGTAAACGTGGCATTCTATTGCTGATTGCTTATAATTTTAATAAGATATGATAAAATATTTTTATAGTGAGATATATTATTTTTTACGATTTTACATTTAAAAGTAAACTTTTAAATAAAACACTTTAACGGTTTAAAAGGCGATATATTAGTTAAACTTATTTGAAAATGATTTTTAACTTCGGCCCGACGTTTCGGATGCTTTGCAGCAGCCGTGGTCACGGGGGTAAACTTACTCTTACTAATTCTATATTATAACTAATTCTTGTTCAAATTGAATATTATTTCTTATTATTTTGAACCGTATTATTCTTAATATTAATGTTTTAGCTCTTTGTTTATAATTCGTTATTTCTACTAGATACGTTACCCCGCATGGACCATTAAAGGACTTTATTACACACAACCCCGATAATAAGCGAGTTATGAGGAGAATATTAAAAATGCGGAATTTCAATTCATTTTTACACCTCAAACAATGGGAAATTTTTGTAAGAGGCACTTGGAAAATCTTCTTTTGTTTCAGAATAAATTGAATTGTTTAATTGAATTGATATGGGCAACAAGTACTATGAACGAGAACACTAATATATTGAATTCGTAGCCTAGTCGATGTAAGAATGAAAGTACAACTATAAATTGTTCCTGAAACCTGAAAGATGAAGCAGTATATTGCTTGTATAATGTCTACACTATCACATCGTCAGTAAATTAATTATTAGTCTGTACGCGTTAGGACACAGCTAGATATTTAGCTAATAGTTGTGAAATGACCACTTAACTGTACGTTAAACGCATTACTCAATGTTACACACTGTCCTTATAATTGCGTAAATATATAAGTCTAGCAAAAATATGACCCGATACGCCCGAAACGTTTTTTACAAATTTTCCATAACATCTTACGCTACTAACAGTAATTTTAACCGGACTGTCTCGGTTTTGCGCGCGGTTTAATACTGCGTGTAAATAGTAAAACATTTCTTAACGCATTTAATTGGCCAAAAAGTTGATTTGTTACGGCTGTCTGTTAAAGATTTGATTACAAAACTAATCATGGATTTGCAAAGAATGGTCTTGCAAGCATTTCAACGTAATAGCTTAATAGCACCTTTGTGTTAATTTGTCACTGACAAGTTAAGAAAACATTTATATAGGCATCCGCCAGGTACCATTGGTGTCAAAATGAATCAGTTAGTTGACTCATAGACAGCACGGTTATCCTCTAATAAATATTTATTCTTTTTGAGAAGTCATTCACTTGAAAGCAAATATTTTTCGGACTTGAAGTTAGAGGGGAGATGAAATCACGGGCAGCGAAAACACAAAACGCCCTTGCACTCTTCAACACAATAGATTCTGCAACGGTTTTTAACATCTGCTGGCAACGTGTGTGAAAAGTCGCATTTAATTTAGAAAAAGCTTTATAATACCTTCAAACTTCTAAATATTTGTGCCTGGGAGACTTCATAGTAATAATAAAACTAAGAGCGTCACGCACCACGCACCAACGTCACCTATAATGAACCAAGACATTACATCACTCGAACCGATCATTAACCTACCGATTTTCCCACGAGTCATTTACCTAACTCTTTGTTCTATTGCAGGATGTCGAATTTTCAACGAACGAGAAGTAAGGTGTGGTGGGGTGATTCACCGCCGGCCGCTGCTAGTCCCGTCGCGCAACCCGCTCGTAACCAGAATAATAGGGGACCAGATCAAGATTGGGAACCTCAGTTACCGCACTGGATCGCCAATCAGCCAGAACAAAGGAACAATAGTGATGATAATATTGCCCAGGCGAACAATGCTCCTAACCAGTGGCCTCTACGACATGGAAGTCCAGGCAGTCACAAAAGTCAGGACTCTGGCTTCTCAGACTCCGACACATCCCCACCGACGTCACAATATTATTTATCTCCAGATAATTCTGATAGAAATAAGAGCACATGTAGTAACGACTCAAACAATAACGAAAATGTTACAGTTAAACAAGTGATAGATTTTCAAAGCAAGGACGTCACAGACAGCCCAAATATAAATGTTAGTACAGACAGGCCCACCCCGAAACCCCGTTTAAGAAGTAGCAGTGTAATACAAACTCCATATGATTTGCAAAAATACTGCGAAGTTCATCATGATGCAGAACATTTGGAATTACTTAAAGACAATACAAATGATGAAATAAGTAAATATCCTTCACCAAAGAATATAAATAATCATTTAACGCAGAAAGAAAAAACAATAGATAAAACTTCAGTGATCCATAACAGTAACATAGAAAGTAATATAAATACAAGTGCAATACTTAAAGAAACCAAAGATATAAACAAAAACTTGAATATTATTAGCCCGTCAAAAAAGTATCCTCTTAAGAAATTTGTGTCTAGTACTGATAGCACTAAAATAAGTAAAGTGGCAAAAGTTAAAGATCTAGAAACAAGTAAAAATAGATCAGACGATAGTTTAGAATATATTAAATTGGAACACAATAATGAAATTGCTGTTAACAATCAACCAAGAATGCGAACACCAATTTCTAACGTGTCATATGTACCTACGGAACGAATTATCGCCGTAAAACCAGATTATAAACGTAGTATGTCAAATGAAGAAGAATCACCAATAACTACTACGCCTAAATTTCAAAGAAATAGATTAAATCAGTCGTTGAATTTCGAAGGACAAAGACTAGATCAACAAATACTAGACATACAGGAAGGATATCATTCCCTAGGCTACATTGATGAAAACGATTTAGGCGAAGAAAAGAAAATATACCCAAAAGAACACATGCATAAACCAACTAAAGCCTTACTAGCTAAAAATATAATGGACAGTCTCCATTTAAAGCCTACTAAAAAGGCTGGACCCAAAGCAAAACAAAGAACGGCAGCCAAAGAAAAAACAAAAGACCTTTTGAGACTATTTCCCTCTAAGAAAGAAAAATCCCATGTCGTAGAAAGTCATGCAGGTGGTATCTTAGAAGGAAGCCGAGTGCCGTCTTTGGGGTTACCGAGAACTACAGATGAAAATTCTTGGGTTATTGTGGGACATCCTCAGAAAGAGATGCTTATACCTCATTATAATGAAAGGCTCATTGGTAGTGAGAGCGAAATTCAAGCAAACAAAGATAAAACCAGTAACGACGAAAGCCTGAAATATAGACGTGTAACGCCTCCATTGGAGTTTCAAGATAAACAAAAGACCCCATATGAATCCAAAACAAAGACAAATAAAAGTTTAACACATGACACAAAGAGAGAAAAATTAAAAGATGAAGATATGAATTTCGGGGATTTACAATTAGATCTAGCATGTACATCTACGCCAAAAATGTTAGCACCTCAAGACTACATTAACGGGACCCAAAGCAACAAACACGCTCGTCGAGTGAATCTTTTAGATAACTTTAACAGTAGCGGGTAAGTTACTCAGCATTTGAGGGGGTGATTATAAAAAAAAGTTATGTGACATATATAGCTGAATATTATGCCAGATTTCATTGAAACGAATGACGAGAATCTTCAATAATCGTGTTAGCTTTTTAGATTTGCTCCCTAAGTGAACTTTCGTTTTCAACTTGTAATTGCGGTAATTAACAAGAGTTTATTTCACAGGCTCGTGTTGAACAATCAGAACGAGATATTGTACAGAGAAAGGAGTATAGACCAAACGACATTAGAAAGGTTATGTGACAGGAAGCCAGAACCAGTGCAATACTGGTTGTGTGACTTGATCGGTTCATGTGAGAACGAATGCATGACGACGCTGCAGAGTAAGCCATTAGGATCAGAGATGAAGGCTTTGGTGTCGGCTAGCTCGGCCACAATCACGGGCAACATTAAAAAAGTCCAAACGCACGGACAGATAATAGTACACCAGTACAGTGACGTCCTAAGGTAATTCATTTTTAACATATCTTAATGTACCGTGATGTCGTCAAATAGATTAAAATGAGCCGGAAATAATTTCAAACATTTACGGAATATGTTTGAAATTATTTTGGCCTACTTTACATGATCGTGTGCTAAGTAATTTTAATACGTACTTAATGTTTTATGGTAGTACTATAAATGTTCTGAAGTGTCCTTATAACTTATATATTTATATAGGCAAATGGAGTCAAAGAGTACGAGCGAAGAACAAATATGCTTATTAGTTGCGAATATAAACGAATTCGTCCTGGCCCATAGCATTACGCTCAATACAAAACCGCCGGGTGAAACGCCAGAAAGGTGGGACAAAATCAAAATGTCACTGCAGCTATACCTACAAAAGCTAATAGATATCGGCGAAGATGTCAAAGTGGAACTGAATGAGTCGCGACCGGAATGGAACTTGGTAGAGAAGCATTTGGATACGCTGGTCGGCATTTTCTTGGAGACAACAAAAGCTGTTCTTGTTCAGCAAATGAAGGTAAATTCTGCTTTACGATTTCTGTAATTCATTTTCTAAAGAATATAGATATTCTTGTAACTTATTAGCTTCATATGTATTCGTTTCAAAGGAAATAATGTACTTACTATATATATATTATAATGCCTATCTTATTCACAATAGTGTGTTTAATTCTTGTATCTGGACAGACTTACACGTGGACGAATAAAACTGCAAACAATAACTCGCGTTAAATTAACATAATATTTTTTTAAGCTAATCAATAATAATAGAAGTTTGTTATAAGTTACGTTACTATAAGTAAAATTACTTGAAAAGGTACCCCCTATCATAAAATCTGAATAAGCAAGGGTATACTTTATAATGTAATATTTTGTACATGCAATATTCATTGGAGACTCGCAAATCCGGCTCGTTTATTCCTGGACATCCTAGGGTTGCCTACTTATTACGACGTTAATATTTTAGTCTTTAGATACCAGCTAATATATAGTCACTCATAAATAGAGTTATTGGCTATCATTTGTTTCAAATTAATAATTTAAGTTACTATCTAACTGCAAAATTACGGTGTATAAAATTTGTCAATATCGAACTATACACAACTCGGGACTGTGACAACCCTATTACAGCCATAATCGTGATTAAGCTTATTTTATGCCCTAGGAATCGACAAGAAACTTGAATTCTCCTAGCATTTATTTTCCATAAATAAAGTTTTAGATAAACAGTATCGGCGTTATTAAATTAATATTGAACCATAACAATAACGATTATTCCCAGTTTTACTGCTACTTTCAAATAAATTGTGTGCATTTATTTATTATAAACGATCTTTTTAGACTTTAGTATCGATCATCGAAGAGCCACCTTCAGACATGATTCTCAAAAGCACTTTAACTTCCATCGGTCACTTGGCCATGTTGAGTGGCAACGCTGAACCGAATTTGCACGAGAAGTGCTTGAAAATTATAAAGAGCGTAACAGACTTACCATTTGTGGACTGTGGGGTCCCCAGGGCTTTACTGACAGCTATTATAGAATCCAATAAGAGTTCAGTTAAGGCATTGTCCCTGAGGGCTTTGGCGACGGTTTGCGTAACAGCGGAGGCGATCAAGCAGTTCGAAGAGGTAAGAAGTCTTTTATTTGATTCGTTAGGATTAAAGCATCGTTAGTATAAAGGAACAATTCAGATGATAGGAAAACAAACGTTCGTACAGAATCAAATCCGAGTGCATATTTGAGCTACGACATTAGTCGTAACGCGTTATATAACGAAGATATTTTTTCTCCAAAAATATAACTTAATAATAATAATAATTAGAAATCATAGATTCTTTTTAATGCATATTAATTCTCTTTTCTGTTTAGGGTGGAGGTATAGAAATTTTATCTGACATACTGTCAGATTCGTCGAACCCCGAACCGCAGATGCGTGAGGCAATCACTGTGCTGACTCAAATCACAGCACCTTGGCTGAGAGGACACCATGATTTGACTCAGTTACATGTTTATTTGAATACGATTGTCAGTAATATTACTGGTAAGTTTCAATACACAAAATCCCAAATTGTAAATGTAAGCTTTTAATATTATATCCAAAAAAACTACTTTGAAAAATTATTCGGAGAAATATCAATTATTTCGTTCTTAAAATTTAACTTGTAGCATAGTAATGACCTGTATATATGATACTTAGTGGCATCTGTTGTTGAGTAGATTAAATCATTATGTTCTTAATAATGTTCTGACCCCCAGAAAGCCGAATCAATAAAAATAAATCAATCTTATTTCAGCTCTTCTCTCTAGAACAGAATGTTGCCAATTGCTGCTTCTGTGCACTGCGTGTCTTGTAAATTTAGTTCGAGAGTTGGAACTAGAAAAGGATGAGCAGACAAATAACAGCGATATTGTAGACGTTTTGACGAAGAACCGAACAGTTGAGAGACTACTTGATGCTATAAAACGGCGAGGGCCGAATATCTCTGTGTTTTTACAGGTACTTTATCTTTTTATTGGAGCATAACTAAGTAACTGTAAAGTAAAAAGTGTCAACTGTCTCTCAAGAATTGGCAACTCTCCGCTAATTCTCTTTTATTTCAGATATTTATAAGCTATACTTCTCAAAGCCAAAAAAATGTATATTTTTTTATTCAATCAATATTTTCACATATTTACAGGAGCAAACTGCATCTTTCCTAGCATCACTATCGCGTGTAAACCGTATGATATTGCACTTATCGTGCGTGCCAGCCGCGAGTGTTGCTCTAGTATGCTTTACGCGTTCTGCGCCCGCGCATGCACCCCGACCGGCTGAACTTCGTGCGCAATATCGTTTGCACTGTCACGCTGTTGAAGCTATATCCAGGTAAACTAATGCCTGGTGAAATTATTTTAATAATACTAAGCATTTCTGTTTATATGGATGTATATAGCATTATAGTCAACAATTATTTGAAGCTGCTGATAATCTCAAATAAAAATAATTATTTTTTGCAGACTTGTTATTGTTCCTGAAGTTGCACAACAAATAGTACAACTAGAAGGCATTCCTCATCTTACTCGCTTGGTTAGGATGCAGAGAACGCGTCCACACGTTGAAGCCAACCCCGATCAAACTCTTATACATTGCCTCAAAGCTCTAAGGACTCTTTATAAACACCAACCGGAGTGTTTTAAAGACTACCAAAAAGACGTGGAAGACATGATCCGACCGCATTTAATGGAATCTCTAATGCTGTTCTCCGCGAAGCAGGAAAGTTATGTTTAAGCGCCATCTGTTGTCGAATAGATTTATTAATATTAAAAAATCTTGTGCTATAAATAACGCCAGCAATATTAGGCCTAGTATAAAGAATTTTTACTATGACATTCCAAGCTTAAATTTCATTCCAGGCTAGACAAATGATATCAATCAGGCTTTATTATTGCCATAAATTCCGTAATAATAAAATGTATATAGTAAATAAGTTAAAGAATTACGTATCTTTACAAGAACTAGAATGAAATGAAACGCCATAACAACACGTTTGCTAGTCCACTAGATTCCATATTATTCTTGTAAGTAAACTTTTTTTCTACTTTATGAACACTTATACTTGTAAATTATAAAATTACCTAACACGGCGCGTCAGTACCGCTAAAATATGAGTTTTAGTATTTTTAGGACTATTATACATCAACAAGATTATCAAATACTCAATAGCAATGTCGAAAAAAACATCGGATCTTTTGGATTTTATTAGGAAGGAAGTTATGAGGAAAGACAAAAAACATAAATTTTCGTCAGTTTTACTGATCAATTTTGTTATTGAGCGAAACCAGATGATCATTGTTTTGCCCAGGTCGAATCCAGGATCTAATATTGCGTTTGAGATCTATTGGGTTATAGGGACATTAGGTCTTGTAACCTGTTGTAAAGAATATAACTTAGCTGATATTTTGTACATCAATAGTATTTGTTTGATACCACCTCTTTAGATTAAGCATGTATAAAATTGTAAGTCTCAAATATTGTTGTTTAAAAAATATATTCTATTACTCAATAAACATTTTTTATTTTTAATAATTATGATATTTATATGTATATAACCCACTTTCTTTAAATTAATTTATACAAATTAGTGTACATATATCACAACAGCTTATTTATAACATGAAAAACATTATTTTTTTCAACATCTTGTTTGTTATTATTTTTTTATACAACTTCTTTAGCATTAAAAACTTATAAAATAGTAACCTTAAATATTAAAGTTAACCGTGAATATTATCCATATGATTGTTTAATATTCTTCGAATGTACTATATCAACTGTAGTTTCATGACATTGTCGTAGATCAAGGTCGTACATTCCAAGGCAGAATTTGTTGTCTGGCGCCTTGTAGAAGTCAAGACCTCTGCCAATTTTTATTATCCAACCAGAGCTAAGGCTGCAATATTAGTTGTGAATTAATTTTTGCACATTATTGAATACATCCAGTAGAACCTCTACTTTCCCTCAAACCCAATTCTGTGAAGGTTTGAAAACTTTAATATTTTTCATATGTATAGTGCCTTAGTCAATGTACACATTGACTATGGCACTATATCAATTAAAAGCCATATAATATAAATAAATTTCACGACATGGGCAGGACTTCAACCAGCATTCACAGAGTTCCGTGCTGTTAATTTTAACCTTAATGATCAACTATTAAGGCTGAAATTACTTTGCGGAAGAGGTGCATGTGTCAATAGGTTGAAAAATTTGGGCATAAGTATTCCTACACGGCAGCCCAATTGGTAAGAGAACCAGTACCGTACGCAGTGGATGCGGTTCACGTCCTGCCCGTATGGTGATTTATTTTAATTCTATAATTAATCGATTTTTAATTTATATAGGTCTGGTGATCATGCTTCAATGTTATTTACCTTGATGTTGAGATAAATGAAACAATCATAATGCCCTAGGATATGAATTCAGGACCGCAAAACAATGCCGTTTACGATCTCTTTATAATCTATGTTATAACTACATGCACCATTAATAAAATACTTACATAATTTGTCTATCGTGCAAAGTTTCTGAATACTTCACAATAAGTTGCACCCGGTATTTGTTAAGATCACTTGCTAAATTGTCCAACCAACTTTTTTGATCCTTTTCAGTCTTATTGTCTTTTGAGGTAAGGAGTTCTATATGCCTTAGTTTAGTGCATGATCTTACTAATAATTCACATAACCGAAGAAAGTTTTGACACTGTGAACGCAGGTATTAAAGGAAGTGTACACAAATAATTTTTTTTACATCAAACTGTTTTGACAAATAGGGACCAAATATTGGTAATTATATGCTGACAACTTAGACTATAAATTTTCATAAGATTTTAATTTTACCTATAGCGAAGAAAGTTATGTGACCAGTTTCAGAATACCTCAGATTATAATCAACATAAAGATAGATAATTTACTTTGACAGGCTCCTTGGTGTAATGGTAGCAATGTACTGTTAATAATCCTGGCTTCGATCCCCACCAGGTCCAATACTTCTATACAATTTATAATTTTTCTGAAACATGTTGGTCGTCGTCTAAAAATCTGGATATTAAATGAATGGTAGGAATATCGAAATTCCCTCTGGGTCACGAATGGAACCGCCCACACACTGTTTACAGACGAAAAAGCCATGAAGGTTTGAACCCCGTGCTTCTGTCCTCCTCTATCATATAAAAGTCAGTTGGATGTAACAAGTCCGGAGACTTATAATGAACATATTTATGAAAGTTACGACTATGTAAAGAGTAGAGAGACAAACCTGATGAAAACTTCTTATATAAGGATCCTCTACAACAACAAAACTAACATCATCATCTAGGAATCGTCCAAACAGAGTTTTGTAACTGTGTCCTGTTGAGTCATTCTCTATATGTACTTGTTCATGAAATAGACCAGCTTCTTTTTGTTTTATAACAAGTGTTTTTATAGTCTCTGCTCTGTTCATATATTCTTCTACCTTTTTTCTTAAATAACTGCGTGTTGAATCATCTCTTTCAGCTGTAAATAATTACTAAGATGTTACAAATCAAACATTAATTAATATATGATTAGATTTTTTAAGTAGTTAAATAGTTGGTTTACTTCTAATGACTATAATGAGATACACACTTATGTTAATGATCAGTTTTTTTTTTTTAATAAACTAAAAATATAAGTTCTCTTTTTGTGTACTATAAAGTGTGCAATTATTATTATTTCATAAAATTGGATAATGGAGCCATGTTGTGGAAAAACATAATACTTCAAAGTAAAGATTGCTTAACTTTTCAAATAAAATTCTACAACATGTTTAGTGAAATAATTACAAAACAAAAGAATTTACTATAAAATTAATGTCAAAGGTGGCCTTTTGACCGAACTTTAAATACAAAGATTATAATTTATTATGTTTTTAAGTCTTTGAGATACCTGTTGAAAACCCCTTTTGATTGTTATATTAATACAATATTCAATTGTTTGGTTCTGCCAGAATTCAGTAATTTCACCAACTAGATAGTCATCACAAAATTTTGATTGAACAATTAGTAAAATAGACATACATACACACAAGGAAACAAGATTAACACAATGGGTAATTGTTTACAATCACTATGAGATAATATTTAAAGCTTAAATCTAATGAGTTAATAATAAAATACAAACCTTTTATCTTGTCAACAAGTATTTGAAGACCTTCTTGGTAACAAACCAGTGCCTCTGTATATCGTTTCTTAGTATCCAAATCTACTCCGCGCTTTAAAATATTTACAGCTGCACTTTCTATATTCATTTTTTACGATGTGTTGTGCTTCTTGAGAATCCCTTACTAAACTGAATTTAACAGAACGCCAACTTCAAAATACTTTGCACGAAAGCAAATCAATCAAAATACGAACATTAAACATGTCCTCTTGAAATACAATATATATTACGTTTGCACTTTTACAGTTACACACATTTATAGTATTTTGAAGTAAGCACGCTTTAGTGAAGACTATTATTTATAATGTGTATACTACTATACTAATTATTCTATAATTAGTTAATGTTTTATTTTATAACAACGTAAAAAAAATAACTTTTATAGAAAAAGTAGTTAAAGATTTTTTCATTTGTTTATTTACGTTTTTGACGTTGTGACTTTGTGTTTAATCAAGTTATTTTTGACACTGAACTTTGCTTTGGTGGCAATTGCCTGAAATATAATCTGTGTTATCAACTGTCCTTTCAGAATTCAGTTTTACCTGTGACTTGAACATTTGAAATCATATTAATTTGTTTTAAGATAAAACATAATAGTTAAAATATATTATAGCATAAGCGCTCAGTTATGCATCGCTAACTTGATCTATAAAATTACATTTTGTATATAATATACTCCCTAATCTCATGTTTGGCATACTATTGTGTAGGTAGCGTTAAGTTAAAATTAAAACAATGTCTCACCAGTTAGGACGTCTTGTATCACAAATATTGCAAAGATATTTCGGCGAGATCGTGGAAAAAGTAGGAAATGACCTGTTTATGTACGGCATTAAACCGATTGGGATGATAATGAAAACAACCGGTCTTCCAAGAACACAGGTATGTCATAGGTTATGTTTACTTTCAGAAAAAAAGACGCTAAAATTATTGCAAATTATTCCTACATATTTATTTTGACATATGATTTACATTCTAATAAGTGTATCTAATGTGCTATGATACTTCCTTCTATACCTTCTGTTAACATTTTCTAGGTTATTGAGAGCTTAAGGACACTTCTCAAGTTTGATCTAGCAAAGTTTGAATCTACCAGTGGCAATGTCGATTATAAACTACTTCCCGATAATGTTCTAGTGCTTATAAGATATCCCAGGTAATACATGGTTAACCATTTTATTTTCTACCCAACATTATAAAAACTTGGTTTGTGTTCTTTAAACTTTATAATTACTGTTTAAATGTATTAGATACCTTCTACAGATGAAGAGTAAATATGGTACTGAGGCAGAACTGATAGTGGAAGAGCTTTTACAGCGAGCGGCTTGTAGTGCTACCTTACTTCTAGTCAGCATAGCCAATAAATATAAGGATGACACGGTAATATTAAACAATTTCAACAAATTACAATTAAAGTTCTTAGTTACTTCTTTATTAAACCATACAATATATTTATCAAATATGTACTTCATTTATATGAATATATTTTGATACATATGACAATATGGTTGCTATGACAAGTTCAACGCAACGCAAGACAATGGCAACATCAAACAATAAACAGTGTGACATGAGTTAGACTGAGTATATAAATACTCTGTCTTCTTTTAGTTTTAAAATTTCACAACACATATTTATCTATCAACAATATTAGTCGGTCAAATGTGTGTGTATTACAGGAAAAAAATCTAACCATAGTCACATTGAAGGACACATTTATAAGTCTAGCAACGGCTACATACATTCAACAAGCTCCTGTTGCACAGTTAAAAGATGGCTCAGATATTCCGGATCTTGTCCAAGTAGCTAGCATAGTACCAGATTTAGATACAAGGTTGCTGATGCAAGCCATGGTAAACCCCGCTGATATTAAAGACAGTAAGTCATTCTTTCATGTTCCTTTTACAGAAGACTAGCTGACCCGGCAAACTTTGTTTTGCCATATAAATAATTTTACTAAAATGTCTATTAAAAAATAAGGGTTGATCGTAGAAGAGTGAAAATTGAGGATTGTATGTATTTTAGAAATTAAAAATTTTGTCTAAAAAATAAAAAATAAAATTCTAGGGTGAACAACCCTTATCACTTAGGGGGATGAAAAATAGATGTTGTCCTATTCTCAGACCTACTGAATACACATATCAAATTTGGTGAAAATCGTTCGAGCCGTTTCGGAGGAGTTCAAGTTCGAACACCGTGACACGAGAATTTTATATATTAGATATAAATTATTTATTTCTATACTAATGGAATTCTGTTAAAGATTTTCATAATTTTAGTTATATAATCTACAACTTAAAACCACAAACCTTTGGGTTTGCTGTGCTGTGTTGAGATTATTGAGAACACTAAAGTTACAGAAGTTCTTTTTGTATTATAGAGAATCATTTCATTGTTAAAAAAAAATTGTTTAATGATTGATAAATAAGATGCAAAGATTAAATGTAAATGAATACTGTCTGTAGTTTATGCAAGGAGTACAAATTTAAATAAAACAATTTAAGGGTTTAAAACGCGATATATATTAGTTAAACTTATTTCGGATGCTTTGCAGAAATCTCTCTGTGACCACAGTTTCAAATAAGTTTAACTACTAAATAGCGCGATTTTGTTTAATTATTTCTTTATTTATTCCAGATGTCTATTGGAAAGTGAACTATGACAGATTCCATCAAGACTTCACAGATGAAATAATGATAAACGCGATGACGCGGCGAATCGATGATGATGGTAGGATTAATATTTATGTTTATAAAAAAATTGTCTAGACTGTTTTGCAAAGTTGAAGCTTAAATGTGTGTAATGTGTCAGAGAATCAAAGTGAGACAAATTTTTGTGCAGAAACAAAATCAAACTTCAGACCTCTTCAAGACAGCTTCCAACATTAATGAGTTATGAGGAAACTTTATGCTTGCCAATGTCTCAAAGGCTTTTTTATATTTCAGCTGGTGAAGTTATGCGACTTCTCATTCAAGAGATGTATCTATCGTCCTCTGCTTGGGCTGAAGAATCAAATGTGGTGGCCCTGACAGACTTGAGGGAACATGCAAGTAGGTTAAAAGATAGACCACTGTTGCAACAGCATCTGGAGCATTATCTCAAGGTGATGGGTGAGTTTGCGTTTTTTTTCCTTATTTGGGTTTTCAAAAAGTATGAAACCCATTTCCCCTGAACATTACTTGCCAGTTCTGTTATCCAATGTTTAACAGGTGCGTACTTAGTATTTCAGACTTAATTTTTTTTTTTTTTTTTTTAAAACCAGTACGCGGAATTTTTGAACAATATCACAGAGCTTTATTTAGGTCACAATACTTCGTTAAAGTACATTATTTCAATGGAATTTATAAAATATTCTTTATCTCATTAGAGGAAAATGGTGCTGGGTTTATACGTCGCGCGGGTGACGCTGGAGGTGGCCAATATTCGGTACAAGTGAAATGGGCAGCTCGACAGTTAGTTGAGAGCGTCCTAGATCACGTGGTCACTGAGAGACTCGGTTCCAAGGCAGCTAGAATATTCAGGTATGGTAGAGGACGAGTTATGTTAGTAGGTACTTACCCGTAAGCAGTTAAGACACGTAAAGACGACAATGACAAAGTAACGACGGGCTCCTTGGTTTAATGACAGGAAAGCTAATGATCAACGGGTTGTGGGTTTGATCCCCATCGGGTCCAACATAAGTCTATAAGGTTTTTTTTTTTAAAGTTCTGGAAATTACGTCCGGGTCACGAACCACCGTCCACAGATAGCAGCATAGCGTCCAGAGATCGCGTTTCGGTTTCAGTCTTTGGATTTCCGAATATCCAAAGCCAAAAGGAGTCGACAGCGTATCTTGTAGAGTTATCACCTCCATCATACCTAAGGTTGTCTTTCCTATATTATAAAAAATATATATATTTACCATTAACCAACCTTTAAACAGTGCTAAGCAATGGCTATAGGCTTTGTAATTTTTTGTGTGAAGTGTTTCTGTGATTGATTCAAAAAAAAATCTATGCGTCACTACTGTCACCGTTACGTTTTTTTATATTTCAGGCTCATTCGGGCCAAAAAGTACATAGAAGAAGAAGACATACAAAAGAATGCGATGTTACCTAATAAAGAGTGCAAGCAGTTGACATACAAACTGCTAGAGGAGCATTTTGTTAGTGTACAGGTGAGTTCTATATCATATATTGAGTAATCTATCCATGCATATATCTTTCTGAAAAAATCGACTCTAAAAACTTTACTATTTATTTCCAGCCCATGAGGAAATCTCAACAGGTTTCCGGAACCCAAAAGGGAATATATTTATACCACGTGAAGTTATTCGATGTACGTATGTATTTCTCGAGGAGGATTTTGTAAATCGGGGTGAACTTTAAATACGATATTACGCGTTTTAAATAATCATTGAAAGTGTTTATTAAAAAGTACATAAGGAAAGAACACTAAGCTTATAACTTCTTTGGATATCTTTATTGTTGTGACCGAAGATCCACAATTTAATTAGAGTCGTAATTATCTTCAGGTGGTTCATGTCTGTCGCGAGATGTGTTATCGTGCTTTGCACAATCTGTCGCGTGCTCGCTCGCAATTGGTCAGCGTACACGCGCGGGCTCTGGACAAGCAACGCCGCGTGCGCACCATTGTACACGGGATGCGCCTGCGCAGCGAGCCCCAGAAGAATATTGATGATGTGAGGACAGTTAGAGTTTTCTTTTTTAATTTTAATGATATTTATTACGACAGTTTCTCTGTGCTTTGTGAATAAAGGTTGAATTGTCAGTCGCGGGTTCAAGACCGTTCAAGATCTTTACATTGAATTAATATTACGTTAAGTTTGTAACTTAGCCAAGCTTTTAAGCAAAGTTCCATTTTTATTTGTTTATTTTGATATAAATCACAATCACAATAAAAAATGACTATCAAAACTGCTTTAACGTATGATAACTAACAGTATTGTTCTTTGTGAATAGACATTTTAAATAATGAAACAATTGCCTACCTTTTTTACCCTATAAGTCTAATCCACTTCTAGAGAATCGGTTTCCAGTATCGAAACTAAATTCATTTCAAAGTACATTGGTTTTTTTTTTCAGGTGCTAGAAACCTTAACGCCTCCCGAAGTATCGCTTCTCGCTCAGGTTGAGAAGCAGCTAAAGCAACTGAGTGCAGCAGAACTAGAGCTTGATAGGAACTTATTTATACTTAATTGGTATCTCGTATATCCCTAGTTTTCTATAATCAAAAGCTAAGTTTACAATCTGAAATAAATCGTTGTAAAACAATATATATTTACATATTGTTTGTAGATAATATGGCAACATTATACAACATTAAGAAAAGCACAACTTTAGAAATCGAATAACGATCTTGGTGGCTGAATGCTATTGCTCTTTTTCGTAATTACGAAAGGATTCGAATTCCCAGGATATATTTAGTAGATATAGTCACGCAATCTATACTATTCTTATACTACACGTGGAGGTAACAGAATTTAATTTTGAAGGAGCAATTAAAAAAAAACGAAATACATTCTTAAAATTTTATTTGACCCCATCAAAACTGAATCGCTAAAACAATGTACACGTACAACCTATACTGATGTTAGAAAACTATTCGTTATGTATACCTCGCTGTACCGAGCCCTCCGAGTCTTCAACATTATTATATATTAACAATTATATAGATTATGTAAACACCTGTTATACAGTGACACCTATTATTTTGACCGTTGTATGTTTAGTTGATATTATATAATTACTTGCAACTCCTGCGCAGGCGCTTGACAATACGATCGCCACTTATAGGCATAATGCCAAAGATGTGAACTTTCTTTGTGCTGCTTTCAAATTATTCAGTTTAATTTCTAATCAATCTATCCGACATCGTACGTGAAGTATTATGTACAGCATTTATACTATTGTTCTAAGATAATAAAACCCTATAAATCAAACATGAAAATTTAAATTAACTATACGGTTATAATTCACTTGAAAATTATTAACATTGCTGCAACATCAGAATTTTAAACGTATTAACAGATAGATATCGTTAATAAAATTTATCACAATTAACAATTTCAATAAATTACCTTCTAGTTTAATGAAAGATAATTTTGTAGGAAACTAATGCGTAAGTTGATGTTGGCATTATAAAAGGTGGCGCTTAACATACAACGGCTGTTATATCGAAGCTAAAATACCACTAGATTTGACTAAATTTTAAAGTTATTTACACGCCTTGTGTCAGGTATAGCCTGTTTATGGAATAAAGGGAAGTAGGACGATTGCGCTTATGGCGATAATTAAAATATGTATGTAGTACTGACAAAATTATCATCCTACATCAGACAAATGACACTGTATATAAAGTAATGAAATGATCTACAACAAATATTAGGATTAGGATATTACTTAACTTCCATAAACAAGCCATTCGCCAAAGACAAGGTTATAATCTAATCTATGGAAATATTAAAATAAGGTGAAGACATCGAACTATGAACTTACTACGATATCACCTTAATAGTCGACCTACATTAACTTATGATACATGCTTAGCCCGATCTTGTGCACTTTATAATTATCGCACTTACAATTTAAAGTGGTTTTGAGTCGAGGATAATACTTCAACCTGATTGCATTACTAAGAACATACCTCTGGTGAGGGTAGTTTCACATATTGAATCTCCATGTGCGTTTGTTTTTAAATTTATGTACAAAGACAACTGTTTAAACTAACTTTTCTCGATATCTTAAATGGCATAACGAACATGATATGATTTTAAGACGTTGAACATGTTAAATACGACAATTATTAATTAAACTTTTCCGCGAAAGATCCGGTTATATGTGGACATGTAGGTATTTTATTTCGAGAGAGGAGACTAATATAATAATTGTTAAATAGAAATGCACGAGGAAAAAGCGAAAATAAAAAATGCAAATTAATTTGTAATTTTATTTTAATTATTATCAACTAGGTATTTTTACACAACTTAACAAAATACATACAGCAACTAAACAGAGTAACCAAAATTTAAAAATACATTCATTCTACAGGGGGAGGACCTGGGAATATATTTCTGAGCTAGGAAGATACGTTTGGCAAGATCTTTTTTAAATGTTTTTTGATGTAAGTTCTATATTTTACTTTATTTTCGTGTTTTGTCAATAAAAATATAGCCTCTATTGGGCTGTTAACTTGAATTTTTATTATTTGCGTACTGTAACATTTAAAATGGGCAGTGTGCATCAAAAAATCTCCAAGGAGCCAGCAATATATTCCAAGGTCTCCTACAGGTCAAAAAAGCTTCAGTTCCCCTTAATACTGTTTCTGATACGTCTAAATTTATCTTTAACTTCTGTCTGTCCGTTGATAGTTTATTTGTACTATATCACAAAGTATCTTTAAAACATGATGGATAGTGAGATATTAAAGAAATCCCTTAAAGGACGGCCTAGCCAAACTCAATAAAGCCAATTATAAAAATAAACAATTTTATATCTAAAATAAGCCAATAAAACAAAAATCTACGTTAATATGTGATGTATATTATAAAGTATGTACAATATAGTCGGAGTCTGGTAACACTGAGATTTCGGAATTATTTGTAGTAGCAACAAAAACTTAGCCATTGATGTTAATTTTACACTAAATGAGCATTTATTTCTAAAATGGCGGTACTCTAACGAGTTTTTTGTAATTATAACTTCATATAAACTCGTCACTATAATATATGGAATAATTGTAATGGATAGATATCTTCTAAAATAAAATATAATATTTTTATACTAACTTTTCTCAAACTTTACAAATCAGTCGCCGTGTTTGCGTTTCAAAATATTACAATTTGCATTTACGTGTCTCAATCGCTGCAAACTCCGTACAAGCTACAACTAGCGATGTAAATATTAATTTTTCAAAATAAAAAAATCCAAATATTGCATTAACTTATCACAAACGAATCGTAGCAACGTTACTATAATAATACATATATACAATGCGTACTGATCTCTACATATAATTTGTCATTTATAAATATTTGCATTAGTCGTATCGATGGCTTAAGAATTTTATACGAACAAACATACAAGCCGAACTAGAGGAACTATTCTGTATACAAACTCGTTCCATTTATACATAAAATTTTCATTTACTTACCGATTACCCTACTGAAACACGGCAGCATTATACTAATGAGCTAACGCGGTGAGGACCTCGCCTAAGCCAACTGAATCACCGACATTTCGAAGCTATTCCTACACAGCACGATTTAAAGGTAGAAATAATGTTACCAATATTGAATGAACGAAAGATAGCGTAGATGAGAATTTGGAGCTAAAAATTGCCTAGAAGCAGCGAAATAAAGGTACTAACTGGCAACACTATAGACTACCTTCAAGCAGTGTTGTGTGCAAATGGCTAAAATGTCTCCGCTTGCGATATTTTTAAGTGTTCTCACGTGTGCGTGAATTTTTGGAGAATTTTGTGCTCGATTCGAACTGGTATACCGAGTGCTAGCGAATTATATTAAAATTAAACTAAACGAAATTATCTATGCAGATAATTTCTTAGAGAATAAGCGAGTCTTTTAAAAACATCACAAGTGTATGTGAAGTTGCGACCGTTTGCCTACAATCACTGAGTGTGAACACAATTTGAGTCCTGTCTCGCTCGCATACACGCGCGTGCGCTCGCTCCGTCCCGCTCGCGCGCATTACAATATGCAGCAAGATGCGGAGCAACAACTGCTGGAACCGCCTTTACTTTTTTGTCGTTGATCTGAAAAATGAAATACACAATTAGTGGCGTAATAACTCTATATAACAAATATCTAAACTAAATAAGTATGAAATAAAATGACAAGTATGTCAAGACTTCGTGACATTTTGGTAGCACTTTCAAGTCCTTCGTCACGAACATCTACTTTAAATCAAATAACTAGGAACAATTTTTAATTTTATCCAGGTAAATGGAATAGGCCGTATGAAGCGGAAAAGATATCACGAATATAGTTGATTGTTTCCAATGCCCTAAAATTACTTCCGCTTGACATAACTCTAATGACTAAAAAGGATAAATAATCGGGAAACTCACAGTTTATGGGATGTAACAAAAGGGTGGAAGGGATAAGGGAAAGGGGTGTGTTAACTCCATCGGACTTCTGGAAATGTTACATACAGCTTAACAACTGATTTCAATGTCATTTTTCAATTAAAATCACAGCATTTCGGACATTGTGCTGCACACAAACAATTTGTAACAACAAAAGTATTCTTTAACGGGGAAAATAAAGGAAATATTTCTCCTATTGTGTCTTGAGATTAGTATCATCAAAAATAGATTACCATGAGAATTAGGCTCAGGCAAATGTTCGCGTGGCACCAAATGCATGACCGTGGTGCGACCGAGTGGCAACCCTAGCGCGCCAAGCGTCACCGAACTGTGCAGGAAGCGGCCCTGGTAGATGAGCCGGAGGATCTCCGCACGAGAGACGCACTCTGACGACCAGTCGGCTGAAATACAAATAAGACATCGATTTAAAAAATGGCCATTTCTTACATAGTGGTCAAGGTACAACTTTTGAATTACCAAATAACAATAAAATATAATAAAAGTAATTAAATTTTTCCTCATTTATGTGTATTTACTGTGGTGTGTTTTATAAATAATAAAGCAATAATAAATAAAAAATAAAAACAATAACCCAACCTACAGAAACCAACAGACAAACTCCGTAAGTATGCTGTTGTAAGTCTTTTTTTTTTATTAACGTAATCGAAGCCGTCGAAAACTAACTAGCTCATGTAATTATTTTTACAAGAAACAACTTCAAAAAAAGTGTAAAATTCACAACAATATAATCATAGCGCAAACCGTAACAATTATATAATATATTCTGATTGTGATAAAACTATCATACAAGTACGAAAAAAAAGTAAAAGAAGAAAAAGATGGTTTAAAAGTCGAGTTTGATATAAAAAGTACATGAAACAATTAGTTCGTGAAAGAAAAAAAATAAAAAATTGAATCGATGCCCCCAGAGAGATTTGAACTCTCGACCCCTGGTTTACAAGACCAGTGCTCTAACCCCTGAGCTATGGAGGCTACGCGATATAAAGTGTAAAAGCTGACAAGTATTGAATTGGTCGTCTGCACACTACTATACAATTTTACTGTATGTATTATGATTAGCACTAGTCAACGTTTCGTAATGAAGGCTAAACTAGATGTCGCTATAGTAAGAAAAAACAAAGAAGGTCCGTATAGTTTCAGTGCAAAAAAAATAACAACTCGGTTCTATACAGCCGCTGTTACCATAAATAAATAATAGTCCATTTCAGAAGGGTACTTAAAACCATATATGTATAGACAAACAGTAATAGAAAGAAACGTAGCCAAGTCTAGGCCTAGCTTGCCAATCAAATACTAAATAACTGACACTAATTTGATTTTTCTGGAGGCAGCCTTATTGATCTATCAATATGTCATCAAACAGACAACAAAGTTTAATTGACTTTTCTTGTAATCGTCATATTGGTAATAATTAAAGCTAAATTAATTAAATAAATTATTTTCTTCAAAGAGTTTTAACCACCGAGTCTTTAAATTAAAAATAAAAGGAATTATACAATTTATTTAACCTACATAGTTACTTTGTTGTAAATTAGCTAAATAACTGTTATGACTATAAAAAATGTTCATTAGGTATATGTTAGTAAAAACGCCTTCTAACGCAAGGTCTATTGTTTTTTATACATCTGAAATATTGTGATGTATTTAAAACATAATAATGTACCCAACATCGTTAGTCTACTATACTAACCTGTTCAAATGTATTTTTCTTTTATACTTACATAAAATGTGTTAGTTTTAAAAATCGAAAATATGTAAATTGAAAAGTTTTCGACTTGGGCAGGACTTGAACTGGCATCGTCAGCGTTCCGTGCTGTTGCTCTACCAATTGAGCTACCTAGTCGAGTTGGTAGAGCAACAGCACCGAACGCTGACGACGCCGGTTCAAGTCCTGCCCGAGTTGAAATATTTTCAGTTTTTAAGTTATATAGTGCCTTCACGTGCCATAATATGTACAAAATATTAATGTTTTCAAATGTGATAGTTTATTAAAGTACAAATATGTTAAATGTAAAAATGAAAAAAGTGAAAAAAAGTTTCAGTCGCTGTTCCGTTATTTTATTTTAAAATATGTTTTCGCTCAGTAAATGTCTATCGTAAGGTGTCCAATATTACCTATGTGAATTCTGAATATATTAGTCATAATATCTTCCAGCTTTGCTCCTTTGTGGCATTACAGTCTGTGGTAACGAGTAACGAGTAACGAATGGTGTCTGAGGCCCATAGCCGTAAATTAGACAAAGTTATTGCCCACGTTACATTAGCGCTTTGAGAATAGGGCGGACTAGCACGAAAAGTCTAAGTCTACGATGATACTAAGAAAATACATAGATTGTTCATCTTCTAATTTTTGTTGATGTTGATGCCAGTTATGAAACTCGGATAACTATATTTTATGAGTGAGTTTAATAAACTTATAATTAAAAATACTCTAGTCGTTTTTATTTATTTTTTATTAGGAATAAACTCAGGACTTACAGCGTACCGTACGTACTACTACATAGTTCACGGCGTGTACACAGACAGAGAGATAAATAAGTATATACTATTTTTGAACGGAATACTGAATATATATTGTCATCTTTAAGTCAATCCCCACAATTCCTCCCCCTTGCCAAGCAATAGTAGACCGTTTTATACATAAATAGAACATAAGAACGAACAAGTAGCCCATAGCCACGCCCCGAGCTAAAAGATTATAGTCACCCACGCAAAGTGCGAAAAATAGAATAATTAAATTAATCAAGTGATCCACATAGAGGGCGCTGCAATCGTTTCAGGTTACTGACCCCCAGGGTCGACATTAACATGGACACAAATAAATAGCTATAGAAATGAAATATTGTAATAAAGAGCATCGATACAACGCGCCACGTATAAATGTCAATTCCATTTTTACATATATTTTTTTAACCTCTAAAATTATTGGAAATTGACCTATACAAAATTAAAACTCACTAAGGGCTCGTTGGTTTAATGACGGGTGGTGTTTTCGAGCCCGACAGGGGCCAACATTTTTCTAATCAATTTAATTTTTTTCTGAAACATGTTGGACTTCATGCGATTTTCAATTCCGTCCGGGCCACGAGTCACCTTCCACAGATGAATAGCCGTTAAGTTTTATCGCGTTTCGGTTTCAGTCTGTGGGTTTCCGAATATCCAAAGCTAGTTGCCATGTAAGTAGGGGGTGTGGCTCTAGCCATAGATAAAATGTGTGCTTCGAATACCTAGCGCGGTGAAGGCTAGATGCAGCACGAGATCGGTGCATACGCAGCTTGTCGCAGGTCAGTGACACCGGTCGGGCGGCGACCTTGTTGCACACTGTGCCCTATTAGACCTCCCGCGCCCATTTCGTTTATTGAATTGAACACCAATTAATATATTTACCGATAGATATATTTTGATGGAATTACATTGCTTATGCCCTAGAAAAACAGGTATTTAAAAATGCCAACAGATAAGACAATTATTGTGTTTTTGTTCTGATTACACAAAATTTTATTATATTTATTGATAATTTAGCGTAATCTATACAATTTAAATGTCAAATTCCATTTTAACCTGTATGAGGTAGGGCATTTCTGGGCCGTTTCACTGGCATAGGCATGTATATAATTCAAATAATTTTGTGTCCTGTGAGATCGAAAAACATTCAGATCGCAAGGGGATTTGCTTAACTTAGAACCATCTCCGGTTTATAAGAGCTTTTCTTTCTTTTAAAACCAACGCAATAACCATTAAGATTATAAACTCTAAATAAACTAAAATTTTAAATTACTGTTCGCACAATTTGTACGCATAAAAAAACATTGAATTGCATAAGGAAGAAAAAATAGTTCGCAGAGACGTTCACAAGACGGAAAACACTTCTCCACTCACAGTTCTAAGAATGTGGAACTACCCACAACCGCCTTGCGAAGTTCTTGCCGATATTGACAACGGGCCTCTCAATAGCACAAAGGAGTTGCGAAAACTTATAATGCCGGCGCTAATTAGTTGCTACTTACTTTAGCTGGGACTAATTAGCTTCTGGCACGCTTCGATGGTACAAAAGCGGTGTTGCTATGATTGCTATGAGTGTGTGGTGTGTGTTTATAGCGCATATACATACAAATAGATGTTTTTTGTTATACACAATTTCTCTTAGGCTTTTTAATGATAGAACGAACAAGCGTGAGGTTTATGTGATAAAAGGTGAAATATTATATCTAAACAAGACTAGACCTGTTGATCTATTTTGGCTCTAGACATTTGGAGATCCATAGACTAAATACTGTTTATAGTTTACGCGAGTAGTACACATTTAAATAAAACACTTTAAGGGTTTAAAACGCGGTTTAAAACTTATTTGAAAATGATTCTTAACTTCGACCCAACGTTTCGGATGCTTTGCAACAGCCATAGTCACGGGGAGACAAATAAGTTTAACTAATATATCGCGTTTTAAACTGTTAAAGTGTTTTATTTAGATCCATAGGCAGAAACCGATTTTCATCTGTGGGCAGTGGCAATCCGGACGGAATTTCGATATTCCTCTCACCTATTTACTATCCAGATGTTTACACAACATATACAAAGTAAAAACAACACATTGGATCGTCCATTATTAGCCATACATTGTTACGATAAGACCAACGAGCCCGTATTGTAAAGCTTGTCTATCCTTCATTTAGTTTTGGATGTAAAATTTGCGCATTCACATATCATTGACATAATTAAGAAAATGCCTATATTTATTTGAATAAATATAGGCATTTTCTTAATTATGTCAATGTTAAAATAATCAATCATTATTAATTAACTCCGTAGTACCTGGCAAAACGATAAAGGCGTTTTTTGTTCATGGTAGGCATTTCACGGTTGAAAAGTCCACGAATGTTTTATGGAAACAAAACGAGTGTGGAAAGAATTTTGTGATTACACGAGCAGACAAAGAGTTTATTAGCGCATCCGAGGGACCCAAAGCGGGCAAACGGAATTAGGTCCTTTGATACCAATCAGCCCTGAGCAGTGAATCCGTGATTCGTTGAAGCTCCCACGAAATAATGTATCCGTTGATTTTATCACGCGGATGTCTTCCTTTGCCTTTTTGTTTCCACTCGCTACTTTTCCATTATTCCTGCCGAGACATTATCTTTTAAATCAGCGCCTTCTCAAAGTAATATTCATGTGATATCAACTAGGTACATGTTGCAATACTTGTTCTGTTCGGTTCTGGGATTTCTCTTTATCCCACTTTTGAAGAAATAAATTAGTTCAGAACAAGAAAGAAATAGAGAGAACTAAATTTATATAAGCTACAAAAAAATATAAGACTTTTTAATATAAAAATAAAAAATATTTAGATCTTTACAGTATTTTAATTAAAAATCGATCATATTTACAGTAAAAAAAAAACATTAAACTTTACAGAAAAAAAGATTTCACGAAAATTATAAAAAAATATATATATTCTCAATGGTAAATGTAACATGTATACTCTGCTTCACAAAACATTAACGAGCTCCACATTAAAAAATGCCAGGTTCAAAACGTTGTAATAATTCTTAATGAAGTGCATCTCTCTGCAAATACTTGAGCAAGTCTTCAATTTTCGGCGATGCATGCAGACTGCTGGGCGGTGCACGTGAAAACGTGGAATTAGTTCTATTTGCCCAGCTCTCTCCCCGCCGGCAATTCAAATGCTTACCGTGTGGCCACGGAATCAGCGTGCATTCATAGACTATTCTTTGTGAGAGTGAAAATCAGATTGTTACGAAATTGCCTAAATATGCTTGCCAATATTTAAAAAAAACTAGTTAGTGACTTAGTAGACACGTTATAGTGATTTATTATATAACGGTAAATACAGTGTAATCTCACTAATCCGGCACTTCGATAGATCGACACGTCCAATAATCCGGCACCCTCTTCCCACACCTCTCTTTTTGATTTTAAAGAAGTTAGATAGTGGCGAAAACATGAGTAAATTGGCAAAAGAATATTGTGTTGGGCGTTCTACTATACATGATCTTAAGAAGAAAAGGCAAAAGATAGTCGACCACATCAAGACAATGAAATCGGGGCCAGGAAAGCGTAAAACACGACACGAGTGTACTAGTCGGCGATTGTCCAAAGATGGAAAACGCTCTTTACACGTGGTTCATACAACGACTTTTTCACTATAATCCAGTAATCCGACCATTCCAATAAACCGGCACCCTTGTGTTTTTAATAGTGCCGGATTAGTGAGATTACACTGTATTTACCGTTATATAATAAATTACTATCCTACCTTACCCTATTACCGTTATATAATATTAAATATTATCTATAACGCCTATCTAATAAATGGGAAAACGTAACTTATAAGTGATAAAAATTGTATTCGTATATAAACGTACAATTATTGATTGAAGAGCGGTGGCAAATGTCAAATGTACTCAGAATTATGGGCCACACCCCACGTCATTACGTTTTCATGGCATTCGTACTAGAAGGTCTGTCGCTTACAAAAATGCTACCCAACAATAATAAACAATAAGTTACGGAGATAATATATAAAATTGGTACAGTGATTTGAAATGATAGTAAATGTAAATTTAGAGCATTTAGTTTATATCTAGTCTCCCCGTGACCACGGCTACAAGCATCCATAACGTCGAAATGTAGTTAAAATATTTGTTTTAATAAGATAACTAAGTAAGTTACTTATCGTAATAGGTATATATGGCATATAAATAAGTAAGATAACTAATATATAAAGCGTTTTAAACCATTAAAGTTTTTTATTTATTAAGTAGGGTATATCTAGTCACCTACGTGAATAAATTATTTTTCACTTTTGACTTTGACATTTGCTCATCGAACTTGCGCCGAGCCCGTGGCCCGACCCAAGTCATTGGATAAGCGCGTACGTCCGCCTCTAGAGCCCGGGAGGCCTGCATCGGCCAACTTTCTCGTCCACGGCACAAACGTGAGCACTTGTCTCAGCCAACGTAGCAATGCTATTCACTCGTGAATGACAAGTTCTATTTATGTCGAGCGTATAATTAGTCAGGCATCGGTGGCGCCTGAATGGGTATTGATGGGCCCATACTGACGTGGGCTGCAGATATAAGTTCATTCAAATGAGATTTAGGATAGGATTTCACAACAATTATTAGATTTAAAAGTTAAGTAAGGCCCGTAAATATTTATTTGTATGAAAAAATTTAGTTTATGTAGGTGGGTTAAATGAGAAATCTCGTTTCCCACTATCGGTTATTTTACATGCTGTTCTTAATGAAACTTCTGTGCCCTGCCCGAACGAAATACTATATTGTTTCCCCGGGATTTATACCAGGACATTTTCATAACGAATGCTGAGCAATACGTGTAACCATTTGGCGACAAAGGCAGTAGAAGTTTATATTTTACAGTTTATTTATATTTTATATATATTATAAAGGTAACTTTCTTCGCGGGCATGACAGTTGGAAAATAAAATGTCTTAGATATTCTTCGTGAAATAACTTACTAACTAACTAACTAATAGCGATAGATAAGTCTTTCGACCCACCACTTCAAATTGACCTAGTTCAGTTTCAGGTGTAAAATCCAAGCGCAATTAATAAAATTTTATACTGCATGCAATGCAATCTTTGCCGCATAATTAACTTGATTTTCTTAAAGCAGGTTTAAATCTTAGCTTTTGAAAAGCAGTAAGAAAATCGTGTTCCCTGATACATTATGCATGTAACCCGGTTTTCGAGGAGGGACGTGTTCAGAAGCCGGCCTTGTTTTGAACTTAAATCTAATTTACTTTTAATAACCCTTTATTAAACTTGTGCCTTACTTGAAATGCGAAGGAAGAAAAATTACAAGGTTTTTACATGTTTTAGGAAATCATTGAAAGGAATTTGTTAAACAAACTTATTTTTTAATATGAACTCTATATATACATTTTTTCGTCCAACAACAACATAAATAAAAATCCGTTAAAGTATTGTACATATAAATTTGTACTACTGGCGTAAACTAGAGACAGTTTGAAGAATGAAATAATAAAAAAAACATTTAATTTCATTATTAAATCCTGCAAATTTATTACAAGGGACTTCCCCTAAGAAATTAAGCGAATTTTCAACAAAATTAATGACACAGGAAAAGAAATATTAAGTACAAAAATAATAATTGTCTACATAAATTATTATTCGCGCCATTAGCGGGCCGAGATTCACACTTTTAATATTAAAGGGCTTTGAATACCCTATTAGCACTTTACGGGAAAAAGGTCATTATAATGTGTTGAATAGGGGTCTTATTTCCATAAAAATATTACTAGGACCTACACTCGATTGAACACGGCTATATTCTGAACCCTCGTGAGTTATAGCTGTGACATAATTGTAAAAAATATTATTATCGTAAGTGCTGTAACTACGTACTGATTGAGTTTATAGTTATTTTTAATATTGTCGTTTATAGTGTTTTATATGTGTAGTTTACTCGCGTACACACAAACGGTTTAAAACGCGAAATGTATATCTAACGGATTTACAATTTAATTTGAACTACGACCCGACGCTTTCGGGTGCTTTACTCTCTTTACAGTGGTCACGTTGAGGACTGAAGATGGACGGTGACCCAAATGACTATGTAAAAAAAAAGCGACTCTAGCGCCATCTCTTCCGTCGTAGTGTTTTATGTATATATTGTTATTTTGTTCTTTAATAGGAATACTAATGTCATATACACACGAGCATTCGTTTAAAAGCTTAGTAAGCTAGGTAACCAACCGATTGCTATATCAATGCCCTAGTCAACTACTACTACCCAAACTCAAATTGTATTATAGCATCATAATGAATCTATACAATATAATTTAGGATAGCTATCGTTACGCAACTAACCAGTGTCAAACTAATTGTGGTGGAAATAGTAAACTTCGGTAAAACGTCTAAATGTAATAAAACTCACCTTCGGGCCAATTGTCATAGACGTGCAGCGCTATGTCGCCAGCTGAGTCTACCGGGCTGAACACGAACTCCTTGGTCTTGCCGGATACGAGTATTAACCGCAGGTTTATCTGGAACAAACGGTTAACTTTTATTTATTTTTTTCACATGATGGCCCTATATAAAATTAAAATCGACATACAATACATTGAACAATTTTACGATACGCTAAGCTCAGGATTTAAAACTGGAGTCCCTTTTGTAGGAAATACCGTAGTTTAATAATGTGTCCACAAGCTGTATGCAAAGCAATCTTTTGTGCGACAAACAAATTTTCTGATTCTGAAAACTTCAAGATTCGAACCTACGACCTCTCGTGTTTAAAGCAACAACTGCGTCACGGTGGTGACTCGTTGACTCATCGAGTATAACATTCGACTGGGACGACAATAAATTGAACAAAGTACATAATATAACCGTCAAAACGCCAAATATATAAGTAGAACTACGGAATAGTTACACTAATATATTTCACGTTAAAAACTGTTAATACCGTTTTATTTAAATGTGTACTACTCAAATACTGTCTGTAGTTGACGCGAGTAGTACACACTTAATTAAAGCAGTTGCAGTTGCAAACATAGTTAAATAAAGCAACCGAAACGTCGGGACGTTGATAAAAATAATTTTAAAACAAGGTTCACTAAAATATATTGCGTTTTAAACCGTTAAAGTACGGACACAACTAAACAATAAATTGTTCTGCCGTTTTGTCTCTTCAATTGCATATAAATCATAAAGACAAAAACAGAATAAAGGGATCTTATCATAAATTACACAAAGCATGTACACGAATAACATAAGCCACGTGAGCTTTCACATATGAAGAGTTAATCTCCGGGATCTACCCTCGTCTTTTTATTAAACGATATTTTGTAACCTTATCTCTTGAATAAATAATGTAGAAAGATAAAATTATACGGGCTCCGCAATAAGAAATCCTTATCATTTGTATTCAAAGTTATTATTAGAACACAAAAAACGTGTTTTAGAAAAATAAAAAAAATACATCACCGACCCTGCCAGGATTCGAACCTGGAATCTTCTGATCCGTAGTCAGACGCGTTATCCGTTGCGCCACAGGGCCCATGTAAGAAAGCTCTGAATAGGCTAACATAAAACTGGAAGTGCGTTATAAAACAAATCTAGATACATTATTTATTGATAATATTATTATTATTTAAAGTACACAAGGAAATTTAAATGTCAATCGACCTTAAAATAAAAGAAAATTTATAGATATAGTGCCCCCCCCCCCCCCCCAACCCCCCCCCCCTTTTTTTTTTTTATAAAATTCAATATATTTCGCGTTTTAAATCGTTAAATGTTTTATTTAAAAAATGAATAAATGTTAATAGCAATAAGGAAGATAAAAATTAAGCCTTTAAAATTATAGCCATTACGTAAGTTAGTATTTTTTAATTTTGTGGTAATAAAAAACAATAATTCTTTCTTGTAATATAACGCATTATTTTTAGAAACTTATAATCTACCGTCGCTTAATAACTGATAATGAAACACTACTTACTGTAATGAATGTTGACATAATAAAGCAGCGGCGAGAATGTAAAAGATTTAGTGAGTTGCATAGGCCGCAATGCGGAGTGTACGGGAGGTAACCGAAGGGAGGAAAGGGGGAGGAACTAGCTACTAGCTGTCTTCGGGGAGGGAGCCGTGAAATTGATTAATGCAGCAAAGAAACAACTCGAACACACTCGGGACGGATCAAGGTAACGTCAAGGTCGCGGTTATATTGCATTCAAATATGATTCAGTCAAAGATAATCTAGCCAGTTTTAATAATCAAGGAATACAGAATATAACATTCTTTAATTTTTTTATTATTTTTTTCTATGTATTTGGTTGGACAACACTGTGGATCCCGATTCAAATAGCGCCCATGCCGAATTTTTTAAATCTTAATAAATTTTAAAATTGTACATTTTATGTATTATTATCTAGTTCCAAAAATACTTTTCGAAGATTATTCTTAATCTAATTGTATTATTTATTACATTTATAATTTTTAATGTATATAATAGTATATAGCATAGTAATGTCTGTAGGTTACGCGAGTAGACATTTAAATAAAAATCTATTAACGGTTTAAAATGCGAATTATATTAGTTAGCCGTTCCGTTTCACGACCATGACTGCTGCAAGGCATCCGAAATGTCGGTCTGCAGTTAAATAAAATTAAAAATAGGTAACTACTTATATATTTGGTGATTTAAACCGTTAAAAGCGTTTAATGTCGCTTACTGACTGAGCTATATTCATATTGGTGAAATCCCGGTTACCTCAGTATTCGAAACTGGGACCACAGTAGACAGAGCCATTTCTATCTATTTCATTGGTCGGACTATTTATTATGCATTCCGTGGCTTTGAATACAATTCCCTTCAGTTTCGATGCTATTCGTCTAACTATTGAGACACGTGGGTGGTATTCAATAATATGCAACGTACAGTATTCTGTATCAGCATAGTATGTCGGGCCTTATTGTGTCCCCAAGCGACTGGCAACCAGCCAGCATTCACCGCTCTCAGCTGTGCTGTAGACGCTTATCATGAGTGCAGTTGGCGGTTTCAAGGTCTTCGTCGATCTCGGATTAAGCATTAAAACGTAGGCATTGAACGTGAGTTAAACCACAAATTATGTATTTACAATGTTAAGTGTTACGTATTGAGGTATCGTTTGGTAGGTAGTTAACAGTAATCGACCGATAAAGTAATAAACTTACAACTAAATTAAGTAAAAGAAAAGAACTTACAAAAAAAATGAAAAATAAAGTATATTTAAATAAAACACTTTAACGGTTAAAAAAATGATGTATTAGTTAAAAATCATTTTCAAATAAGTTTAACTAATATATCGCGTTTTAAACCGTTAAAGTGTTTTATTTAAATGTGTACTACTCGCGTAAACTATAGACAGTATTTAAATAAAGTATATTTTGAAATTTGCGTTAAAAGGCATTAGACGTGAAGATGGATGGCATTTTGAAGGGGTTGCAATAGAACAATGGCTTTTAGGTGACAGTGGGTTTTAAAATAAGATTAATAAAATAAAAAAATTAAATTAAATTAATTCCCCACCAATATTATCCGACCCAACAATTTTTCACAAAGCACCAGTCTTGTAAGCCAAACTAAAATCTCTCGACACAAATGTTAATACTGGATTTTTATTTTATTTTAAAATAAATCCTTATGTAATCCCTGCGTAAATCATTATTTATGTTATACACGAGAATACAGAAAAGCTTTTAGCACAGTGGACGTGAAAATTTTACGTGAAAGTAAAAATCTATGTCAATGTCGGTGGTGGATTCAAATCTAGACTATAGCAGAGCGGCTAGCCTATATTTCTGAATAGACAATGTGCAAAGCTGTCTTTCCCTTTCAAATGTATGTTAAACACCTTTAAAACTCTGCTATCGCTGTTATACAAGGGGTTTTTTAATGATAGAGAAGGACAGACTCTCTCGGGGTTCACTTAATCGGAGGTGAAATGCCCCAGTCATAAATAACATTTAGATTTAGACTAGATGTGCTGTCGGCCTATTTTGCCTTTAGATATTCGGTTTACTATTTACATACAAATGTAGTAGCTAGTAATATATATTTAATACTGAGTTTCTTTATAATGATGAGCATATAGAAGGAAGAACACCCTTTTGTATTTGTTATTTTTTCTTAGATCGTTTTAATGATCAAGTTTAAATAATAACTGAGTGAAGTATACAAATAGAGAAAATTTAAATCGCAAAATTCCCGAGTACGAGTACTAATCCGGCATGATGGAAAATTCAATAATCTCCGAGGTTCAAGTTAGGGACATCGATCGGTTTGGATCAGTTAAGCTGTTAGTACGTTACTTGGAACTTGGAATAAGTTGGCTACAGGTCAATTAGTTGGGCAACTTAGTGGCGCAACAATATTATGCTGAGACTCATAAAGCACAGACTTCAGAAACTCAAATTCAAACCTATGCGTCTTAAATTATATACACTGTCGCATTGATAATGGTATTGTTAAATTAATTTTATAGTAAACTCATATAATAAATCCTGCAATAATAACTAAAAAATAAGCATTGAAAAAAGGGGAAATTTGTATTAAAATAATGCAGTTTAGTATTACACTTAGTAAATGTATTAAACATAGAATGTGGGCCTTATGAAAATAGTGACAAAAACAAAAGGAAAATCTTTAAATGTTTACCCTATAATCCACAGATTAACAGGTGGGAAGAGCGGGGTTACTTGTATCTAGCTTGTGGTGTACGAGTGCAGATGTCATTTCAAAAAAGTTATCCCAAAATAAAGCATACCGCTAGACAAAATCGCGGGCACAGCTAGTAGAGAACAAAGAAATTGGTGTAATAATAGTGGTGTTCGGGGGATGAAAGCGATTCTAATACATGGCGTGATGAACAATAACCGGTAATGCTGCCTCCAGGCGTTAGGCGGGACATAAATCTATAGTTGCCTTAAGCGCCTATTGACCTGTTTCTTCCTTTACTCATATATCAGTGTGCGAATTGTGAGCACAGATTATAATGAGCAGTTGGAGTTTTATTTAATGGTAGTAGTAAGAACAATGACGTAGGTAACCAATTTTATTCACTATTACAGGGTGAAATGGCATTTAGTATGGTATTCTGCATTGCTACATTTTATTGGTTTTGTTAACTTTACATGTAAATTATGCCGCTTCAAGACCTGTCCGTGTCGTTTTTTTTTCAATTTGTAATCGATTTTTAATTTATATAGTACCATCATGTGTGAATAATGTTATTGTTAATACAAAGTATTATAACTTTACGTTTACAATTAAATAAATGTACACACAACACGTAAAAAAGGAATATTGATTTGTGTTCTACAAAGTGTAATTAAGAGAAAGTTTTTTTTTTGCAGATTAGTTGTTTACAAATGCCTCTAAGATAATTAGTGTTAAATTAATGATTATAATAATGATTGCGATGATAAAAACGTTTGATAATAAATAGGCAGCATCGATTTCTAGCGTACCAACTGCCCTCTTTAATCTGTGACCTCTTTTCGGTGGTCATATTTCAAGGAATGCTCGCGTAGGTTTATTTTTCCACAACATTTTCCTGAAACCCCACGGGAGTAAAGCCCGTGAAAGCCTCCAAGTCGGAACGTTATTAGAGCCGAAATAATTCGCGTAAGGAATTTTAATAAGCCTCCCCAGCAAAGTTGTAAAATTCTAATGAAACATGTAATCATAGTATAAGAGAAATTTATAAAAAATTATACGAGTAGTGAATAAAAATGAAACCAAATTATTTTTCAAAATCCGGGTAACGTTGTAACTGAACAAAGCACTTGCTCATTTTAGGCTAAAGAAAAATACATGCAACATTTTAGCAATTTGAAATACATATACATACTGTTATCACAAGCACTTAGTTAAATTAAAAGTTGTTACAGCAGGTCAAATAAAATTTATGTCTAGTATACATTTCTGACCTAGGAATATGGAGAATGGACGTTGCTAGAGAGCACAAAAATAACGAGAATCCCAAATAACTACCGCTCGCTTCAACAGCGGGCTAGTTCGCTAATCTGTAGCAATTATAACAATTTTACGGGCGGTTTTCACCTGATTCCGTGGCACATACCGCAAAATTGATAAGTCACAGGGCTGTAACTTGGCCACAAAATAAACAAATTGAAGAGAGGACACAAAAAGTATAGGTACTGAATCTTGTAGCTTAAAATTATATCTTCAAAAATTGTTTGTACTTTACGCGAGTGGTAAAACGGAGTCATTAGTTACAACGGAGCAATATGTAAAATGGTGGTAGGTCGAAATTACGTCCGGGTCACGAACCACTATGCAGTTAAAAAAGCCGTGTAATTTAATCGCGTTTTAGTTTCAGACTGTGGATTTTAGAATATTCAGTCAAGATAGATCGGCAACGCATTTGGTTTAGATATTAGATATAGCAGAGTTTCTTCATGTTTGAATGGCTTCTTCTATTATAAAAGAAAAAGAACCCACGGCTGCTGTACCGCGTACATCGTAATTAAAAACAATTGAACAAATTCAATTCGTTTTGAATAGAAGAATAACAAATGTTCGTCCGTATTGATAATATGAATCCGTATATTATTTTAATGTTATTTGCGGCGGCCCTATTGAACGACCTACTTTCAGCGGACCCATTCACCCTGACTCTGAAATTATAACGAATCGAACCGGTAACCTCGATTAGGTAGCCAATTTTATACGTTCACAATTTAATGTCTGCGACTCACGATCCAAACTATGAAACATTACAATAATCGTTACCAACTTGACCAATTTTCATATAACCGTGATCGTGTTATGGCCCATATACTGTCAATAGCTGAATGTTAAAATGATTGAACCCAATTTCAAATAATGTACATGTATAAAAGCTGACTGACCTGATGAAAAAAGCATCTCTTAAGTTTAAATAGTTACTGAAATTATTCCTCTAGCTAAGAATTAAACAGCAATGTAATAATTTTATGAACTTTGATGAAACTTGTTTTGTGTTTTTCTTACCAATTGAGCTACTCTGTCCGTGGGTAGAACAACAGCACCGAGCGCTGTGGATGCCGGTTCGAGTACCGTCAGTCTAAATACTTATTTCTAATGTTATATAATACCTCTAATCTAATTTATATAAAAGTATTAGGCTTACTAACATTCAAGTCATTTTTAAATATTAATAACGTATAAATAAAACACTTTAACGGTTTAAAACGCGATATATTAGTTAACTAATATATCGCGTTTTAAACCGTTAAAGTGTTTTATTTAAATGTGTACTACTCGCGTAAACTATAGACAGTATTTTATTAATAACGTATACAATTATGATTATTTTATTTAAAAACTAATTATCTTTAAATCAGGCCCGGCGTATTATAGAACAGCTTTTACAAAACACCTGGTCCGTTTAAAAATGCCAGTAAAATGAGAAACTAATTATGACTTATCCCTCGTCCAGACTTGTCTGTTATGGTAGATTATGATGTCATAAGATCAGTCTAGATCTAATTAATTAAACCTTTGATTAAAAATATATAATTTTAGAGTTTTATTTTAGAAATCTTTACATGGTTTTGCTCCAAATTAATGATCCTTAACTAGCTAAGATTTATGATGAGAAGAAAATATGAGCGACAATAATCAGCACGCTATAACTTAAAATTATTATTAAATATAAAACACACAATTATAAACTAAATTAAGCTAAAACTAGTTATATTGTGAAGGTATACACTACAAACAAAACAGTAAGGTAGTAGAGCGCTAAAAATAGCTAAGAACAA